GCTCACTGCAACTTCTGCCTCCCAGGTTCAAGCGATTCTCCTGCCTCAGCCTCCCAAGTGCCTGGGATTACAGGCATGTGCCACCACGCCCGGCTAATTTTTGTATTTTTAGTAGAGATGGGGTTTCACCATGTTGGTCAGGCCGGTGTCGAACTCCTGACCTCCAGTATCTGCCTGCCTCGGCCTCCCAAAGTGCTGGGATTACAGGCGTGACCCCCTGGGCCTGGCCCTTCCATACATTTTCTATGTGCATAAAATCTCTATCACCCTTCCCTGTTGTACATAACTTGGAGCAGTGGTGTTCACTGATGTGCAATCTACTTCTTTTGAGTGCAGTTTAATCTGTGGGCGGTCTGCAGCTAGAAGGAGCAGGCCCCAAGCAGCAAGCGTGGTGTATCGCTGGTGCTGTGTCAGTTTCTTCTCCCTTCTCTCCCTCACCTGTGTGTTGGTCTGGGCCTGATGGCAGCTTGCCCTGCTGTCTGCACAGCCCTGCCCTGAACACCAGCTCAGGTGCCTCTCCATCTTGCCCTCTGGCTCTAAGGCAGCTGGTCCAGGAATATGTCTTTATGCTGTGGAATGCCAGGACCCCAACAGCACTCTGTTCATCTGTAAGTCCCCAAACACAGTGTTCTTTTGGACATACTTTGAAGTTGAAGAGCTAACGAGTAAGTTAGAGCGGTCATTTATGGTTAGAAAAGCTATCTTTCCCCAAGAATTTCAAGGATTTTACCAACATATCTAGTGACTTGTTCACTCTTTGAGGACAGGTCTGTGTTTTATGTGTATCTCCTGGACGGTACTTTGAACCATAATGGATGATCAGCCCATGTCTGTTGCATGACTACAGTGATTTTTTTTTTTTTTTTTGAGATGGAGTCTCACTCTGTTGTCCAGGCTGGAGTGTAGTGGCGCGATCTCTGCTGACAGCAACCTCTGCCTCCCAGGTTCAAGCGATTCTCCAGCCTCAGCCTCCCGAGTAGCTGAGGGAGAAATCCCGAGTAATCCCACCCACAGATTAAACGGTGCTCAAAAGAAGTAGATTGCACATCAGCGAACACCATTGCTCCAAGTTATGTACAACAGGGAAGGGTGATAGAGATTTTATGCACATAGAAAATGTATGGAAGGGCCACGCCCAGGGGGTCACACATGTAATCCCAGCACTTTGGGATTACAGGCACATGCCACCATGCCCAGGTACTTTTTGTAATTTTTTTAGTAGAGACAGGGTTTCGCCATATTGCTCAAGCTGAGACGACAATGATTTTTACTTTGAAAACAAAATACCTCTTGAGGACACCTTTGGGGATCAGCCTCTCAGCAGCTGGGCAGGTCTCCTCTCTGCTCTCCCAACACTCACATAATTGCCGTCAACCCTAGAGAAGCACTTCTGCCTAGATGCACACCCTTGGTGCCCCGTCCCCTGGGCTGCCCTGGGGCTCTGCTTGCACTCCCAAGCAGGGCCTGCTCAAAGAACGAACTGCAAAATGTAGGGCTTAACACAACAGAAATAGGGTCTCTGAGAGTCCTGGAGGCCAGAAGTACAAAACCAAGGCGTCAGCAGAAGCCGGTTCTCCCTGAAGCTCCGGGGGAGGCTCAGTCCTGGCCTGCTCCGAGAGTCTGGTGGTTGGTTAGCAGCAACCCTTGGTTATTTGGCTCGAAGATAAATGACTCCAATTCTGTCTCTGTTGCAATGTGGCTGTCTTTTCTCTGTGCATCTCTTTGTGTGCAAATTTCCCTCTTATGAGGACAGCAGTCACATTGGACTAAGGGCGCACCCTAATGATCTCATTTTATTTATTTATTTTTTTTGAGACAGAGTCTCACTCTGTCACCCAGGCTGGAGTGCAGTGGCACGATCTCCGCTCACTGCAACCTCCATCCCCCGGGTTCAAGCAATTCTCCTGCCTCAGCCTCCCGAGTAGCTGGGATTACAGGCGCGCACCACCAAACCTGGCTAATATTTGTATTTTTGGTACAGACGGGGTTTTACCATGTTGGTCAGACTGGTCTCAAACTCCTGACCTCAGGTAATTTGCTCACCTCGGCCTCCCAAAGTACTGGGATTACAGGTGTGAGCCACCGTGCCCGGCCAATGATCTCATTTTAACTCCCTATTTCCAAATAAGGTCACATTCACAGGTACAGGGATTAGGACTTCAACATATCTTTTTGGGGGATGCGAGTCAACCTGTAACACCCCAAAGGCTCTTGAAGGTCTCGAGAGCTCTGCCCCCACTGAGGGGGCTGACCAGGTATCCCTGGGGCCGAGGGATGAAAGGCCACCGGGCCTCAGTTCCCTAGAACAGGGCTGGGCACTGTTGTCACCTGGACCAAGCCCATGGGCCTGTCCTCTGTTAGTTGTTCTTTCACAGCGATGGCCCTGCTGGCCCTCCCCTTTCTGGCTCACTCCTCTCTGGCCCTCCCAGGCAGCCCTCAGGAACCTCTCTAGGCCCAAGACTTGGGGTTGGCCTGGCCAGGGCAGAGGAGCAAGCACACCAGAGCGGGTCATCTTTCCAGAACACACTTCAAGCACAATGGCTTTTTAATATCTAAAACCTCAAGTCTGAGTTCCTCTGCTGACCTCAAGGCACCTGCTCTTTCCACTTGCCCCACTGCTCCTCCCTGTGTCAGCCCCTTCTGGTCTCATCAGGGTCTTTCCCTCTGGGTTCGAAGAGATTAGGGTCCATCTTACCTTATTTGTTAAATGCTCTTCTCTCCTTCTTTCTGGCTTTGCAAACCGTACCTATCTTACAAAGCCCAGTTCTAGACCCCTCCTTGTAAAGCAGACTTTCTTTTTGAGAGGAGCTTTGCAGGTTCACAGCAAAATCGAGCAGCAAGTATCTTCCTCAGGTGCTTAAACCCTGATCATCCTGTCCGACATGCCTCCTTACCGAACATATGATTTTCATTTGTTTAAACTGGGACATTAAAAAAACATAAAAGGCTGGGCGTGGTGGCTTACGCCTGTATTCCCAGCACTTTGGGAGGCTGAGGCAGGCATATCACCTGAGGTCAGAAGTTCGAGACTAGCCTGGCTAACATGGTGAAACCCCGTCTCCACTAAAAATACAAAAATTAGCTGGATGTGGTGACAGGCACCCGTAATCCCAGCTACTCGGGAGGCTGAGGCAGGAGAATCGCTTGAACCTGGGAGGCAGAGGTTGCAGGGAGCCGAGATCGCACCATTGCACTCCAGCCTGGGCGACAAGAATGAAACTCCGTCTAGAAAAAACCTCAGAAAACATAAAAGAATTAACTGAGAAGAATGAAATCCACACAATGAGATAAGTTGCATGGCAAGTTTTACTGAATACATGTTTTACTTAGACATACCAGATATTACAAATAATATCTTAAATGACTGTGTGTTTCAGGTGTAAATTCTAGAGTCTCATCACTGGGAGCACACAGCAGACAATGGTCATGAAAACATCTCTATCCAGGTCCTCTGGGGATCGTCCTCTCCCTTTAGAGCCTGGTGGCTTGTCACTCTGTGGTCCTCTCCTGGGCGCCACACCAGTGCACAAATGCTGCACAGATTCCTGCGGGTACACATGGAACTTGGGCTCACGATCAAAGAGAATTATCAGCCTGTCTGCCAGTGTTCAAAGTTCAGACTTCAGACTACCAAGTTTTCATCAACTGTTATTTCTATAACGCCCGCTATTTCTCTTTTTTTCTTGCAAGAAGAGATTTCACAATCTACACAAATTTACAGGTGTGACTCTTCAATTCTGCAAAATTCTTAACTACTGCCAGTTCTGGAAATCCTTGTGGCCTCAGCAGAATTCTGGAGCTTTCTTACTTCATGCCCACGTACCTACATGTGGACTACAAGGACTTCTGTTATCTCAGGCTGATTTACCTTTTCCCTAGAACATCAATAGCACAGTTTAAAACACTGTCTCAGCCTGGCATGGTGGCTCATGCCTGTAATCCCAGCACTTCGAGAGGCCAAGGTGGGTGGATTGCTTGAGCCCAGGAGTTTAAGACCAGCCTGGGCAACATGGCAAAACACCAAAATATAAAAATTAGCCAGTCTCATAACCTGGTCTCAAAATAAATAGATAAAAATTTTAAAAAGTATTTTAAAAAATCACTATCTCTACCAGTTCCCACCAGTTCCCAACAAAATCAATTTCACCTACTTCATCTTCCTGTTTATTAATGCTCAACCTATTTGATTTGCTTAGAACTGTAGCATTTTCCATGCAAGTTTTCATTTATGTCAAAGATTTAAAGTGATACAGGCAACAATAATTTTAGAGAAATCTCATTGCTTTATTACTACTAACAGTATTTAAAATTTTTAGGCTCAAGTTTAAAAATCCTTACTATTGATGGATTACTTTTTAAGTTAGCAGTTCCTTTAGAGATACTGTGGTTTGAGGCACCAATTTCATGGAACTTTATGTGCTGAGTGGTTATACGGGCTCATGTAGGACTGAAGCCATAGCTTCCTGTAGAGACCCCATCTGCAAGTACAATGCCAGCTCCGAAATGGCATTTGCATGAACAATTTCCATACAGGATTCCCTTTAGTGAGCTCTTATTTTGTTAAAGTTGCCTTATGTTCTCTTAATAACATTAGTTATCGTTAATATAATGGAGAAGGTGCTTTCAGAGCATCTTGGTAAGGGGTGTTTTCTTTTATCCTAACATAAACCACTTTGGCAAAAAAGCATGGGAACAGATCAGTTTCATGCTGGATATTCAGAGAATATGAAACATCCAGGCATGCAAGAATGCAACAATCCAGCCGGGCGCGGTAGCTTATGCCTGTAATCCTAGCACTTTGGGAGGCCGAGGTGGGCAGATCATGAGGTCAGGAGATCGAGACCATCCTGGCTAACACGGTGAAACCCCGTCTCTACTAAAAATACAAAAAAATAGCCGGGCGTGGTGGAGGGCACCTGTAGTCCCAGCTACTTGGGAGACTGAGGCAGGAAAATGGCATGAACCTGGGAGGTGGAGCTTGCAGTGAGCCGAGATCGCACCACTGCACGCCAGCCTGGGTGACAGAGCAAGACTCCGTCTCAAAAAAAAAGAATGTAACAATCCCTCCAAGTCTTCACTTTCATGGAAGTTTCAGAGCATCTCATGGGTTTCCTTAAACTTGCGGGTGCTAAGACCCTTCAGAGCTTACATTGAGGTATGAACTTGTCACTCTCCTCCCAGGCTTGTAAGAGAGAGTTAGCAGAGCTAGATAATTGGAAGACAAGGTGCTAACAACTGGATCTGAGGACAAGCCCATCCTGGTGCCTGGCCTGATTCTAACTGATCTCTGGGCATCCGTGGGGCCTGGAGAAAAAAAATGCCACAGGGCACCGCATTTGGTGGGAGCTGACACAGGAGCAATAAATTCCATTCCCCTGTTCATGTTTTGGTGTGGGGTTGGCTTCTGGAAAAAACAAACAAACAAACAAAGTGGGTTAAAAGGTGGAAAGATGGTGATCAATAAGCTACCAATTTGTTCTCACATTTATTTTGAGGCTACTAAGTAGCTGTCAGACACATGAAATAGCCTAAAGATTATAGACAAAGGTATTTTGGAAATTTTGGCAACATTTGCTTTTAGAATTAGTTGGTTCCAAAATTTTAAAACACATCATTTAAATTTTTATTAGCTTTATTGAGCTATCATTCACATGTAATACACTAATTCAAGGTTTACAGTGGTTTTCAGTATATTCAAGGAAATGTGCACCCATCACCACCGTCAATTTTAGAACTTTGTCATCATCCCCCAGAGAAATCCTGTACCCACTAGCGGTCACTCCCCATTTCTCCCTAAGTTTCCCCAGGCAACCACTAATCTACGTTCTACCTCTATGGATTTGCCAATCTGGACATTTCATATAAATAGAATCATACATGTAGTATTTTGTGACTGAATTCTTTCACTCACATGATGTTTTCAAGGTCCGACTATGTTGTAGCATAAATCAGAACCTCATTCCTTTTAATTGCCCAGTAATAGTTCATCATATGGGTAGACCACGAATTATTTATCTATTCATCATTTGGTGGACATTTGGGTTGTTTCCATTTTTTGAGTAATATGAATAATGCTGCTATGAATATATTTGTGTACAGAGCTTTCGTGTGGACACCTATTTTCACTTTCTTGAGTATATACCTAGAAGTAGAATTGCTGGGTCATTATGTTAAGTGAAATCAATCAGGTGTAGAAAGATACGTATCACATGTTCCCCTTATACGTGGAAGCTAAAAAGAAAATTTGAGCCCCTGGAAATAGAGAGTGGGACACTGAGTCTTAGGGCCTGGGAAGAGTGGTGAGGAGGAGACTATGGGGAGAGGTTGGTTAATGGATACGAAATGACAGCTAGATAGGAGAAATGAATTCTGGTGTTCTGCAGCACCGTAGGGTGAAGACGGTTAACTGTAATTTATTGTATATTCTCAACAAACTAGAAGAGAGGGTTTTGAATGTTTATGGCACAAAGAAATGATAAATATTTTAGGCGATAATATGCTGATTACCATGATTTGATCATTATACATTGTATACATGTACAGAAATACCATTCTGTATCATATAAATATTATGTGCCAACTAAAAGTAAAAGGGAAAATATCTAGTAACTGTTTAATATTTTGAGGAAGTGTCAAAGTGACTGGCACCATCCTGTATTTCCACTGGCAATGGATGAGGGTGTCAATTTCTCCACATCCTCGCCAGCCAGCACTTGTTATTATTTGCCTTTTTAGTTATAGCCATCCTAGTGGGGATGAAGTGGTTTTAATTCTGGCTTTGATTTGCATATCTCAAATGGCTAATGATGTTGAGTATCTCTTCGTGTACACACTGGCTATTTGTAATCTTTTCTGGAGACATGTCTATTCATATTCTTTGTCCATTAAAAACATTGTGTTATTTATTGAGTTTTAAGAATTCTATATTTTGGATGTAAGTCCCTTATCAGATATGATTTGCAAATATTTTCTCCCATTCTGCAGGTTGCTTTACACTTTCTCGATGATACATTTTGTAGCGAAAAGATTTTAATTTTGATGAAGTCCAATTTATCTATTTTTTCTTTTGTCATTTGTATAGTTCCAACATTTTGAAAGAAATATCTAGCTCTTCAAGGTAGAGATGAAAGAGTTTCAACTTCTAGATCTGATGGGAAGTTCATTATTAATGCCACACTTAGAAGATGAAGAAATAAGATACTTAGAAGCAAGAAATAAGAGAACAGCAATGGAAATTAAAAAAAAAAATTACTGGCTAACTTCAGTTGACTACAAAGATCTCTGTCAGTCATGGTCCAGGCCGGAAGCAGGTGGAATATTCAGATGGGCTGACTGGGGAGAACTTAATCAAGGGCCTTTTCTATAGAGGCATTGATAGTGCAAGGAAACCAGGCATTATGATGAAGCCCCTAGGGCTGGCAATGCTTCAAGGTTGCTATCCCAGTGTGGTAAACAGGGAGGGAGCAGGTACTGAAAACTAGTGAAGTCAGAGAGTTCCCTGATTCCCCCTGCAGCACATGGAACAAGGGTGTGGCTCACCTGCTTGCTTGCCCTACAGCTCAAACCCCTAGGGGAGCATGTAGACTGGCAGGTGCAGAGGACGGGATGAATGGTTTGGGCTCTCGGCCCCATAGCAGTGTCTAGGTGTGGGTGTCTGCAACTCCCAGGCGGGCATGTGTAACCCAAGCTCTTTCGGATTTGCCATCTGCAGATGGCTTGTGTGCCAATCAGCTCAATGGACCCTCTGCCTTATTGCAAGAGCAGAGGGCCAGTGTGGCAGCATCTGTATCCTGAGCTCTGGCCCAGTGTCTCAGAAGAATCGGATCACACATGGGCTCCAATGATGAGTGCAAGTTTTTATTGAGTAGTGGAGGCGATGCTCAGCGAGATGGATGGGGAGCCAGAAGGTGGAGGGGTGAGGGAAATAATCTTTCCCTGGAGTCAGACCGCCCAGCAGCTGGACCCTTCTCTAACCACCCCAGCCGACCTTCCCTCGGCATCCAGACGTCCCTCTTTTTTTCCTCTGCTGCATCGTTCTGCTGTCACTGGTCTGCTGGTCTGGACATTCAGCTGCTTGTGTGTGTACCCACTAAGGTATTGGGTTTATATGGGTACAGGATGGGGGCTTGGTTGGCCCGAGTGGTCTTGGAAAATGCAACATTCGGGCATGAAAACAGGAGTGCCTGTTCTCACTTAGGTGTGCGGCACAGGCTTGAGGGTGGAGCCCTCACCAGGGACCTGGCCCTTCTCTACCCAGCACTTCCCTGCCCAACTCCCATGTCACTAGTTATAGGGAAGGGCTGTTTGGAGAAAGCCATGGCTTTTGCTAGAGGAATATGGCTACTGTAGTCTGCCCACCTATAGTCTGGCAAGGAGGACGCTGGAGGAATCATACCTCCAACTCTCTTTCTTCTCACTCTGTCATCTCCTGCCCATGCCATCTTAGCCAAACCCAACTCACACCAGGAAAAAGGTGGCCTAGTTGATACAGTCCACAAGGCCAGCCTCTGGGGCCACAGAACAAGGTGGAGAAGAATGAGGGGTGGATTGTGGAGCAGAAGGAGAACATCCAGTGAAGCCACTAGGTGGTGAGTCAGACACTTTGTCCTTTTGGTGGGGGAGCAATTTACACTGAAGATAATTCCCTCATCTTGTTTTTTAACTAGCCCCGCCCCATTGCTGTCCCTTTACCCAGAAATACTTGTCCCTCATACTATGTAAAATGTGATCTCTCACAAGGCTCGTCTCAGAAGCCACCTTCTTCTTGCTGCCATTCCTCAAAATTTGCTCAGAAGTGATCTCCCTCCTCGGAAGTTGTATTAGTCAGGGTTCCCCAGAGCAACAGAACTAATAGGGTATATATATAATATTACATGAAGGGGAGTTTATTAAGTAATAACTCACATGCTCACAAGGCTCCACAATAGGCTGTCTGGAAGCTGAGGAGCAAGGAGAGCCAGTCCAAGTCCCAAAACTGAAGAACCTGGAGTCTGATGTTCAAGGGCAGGAAGCATCGAGCACGGGAGAAAGATGTAGGCTGGGAGCCTAGGCCAGTCTAGTCTTTTCACGTTTTTCTGCCTGCTGTATATTCAAGCTGTGCTGGCAGCTGATTAGATGGTGCCCACTCAGATTAAGGGTGGGTCTGCCTTCCCCAGGCCACGGACTCAAATGTTAATCTCCTTTGGCAACACCCTCACAGACACACCCAGGATCAATACTTTGCAGCCTTCAATCCGATCACGTTGACAGACTTAACCATCACAGAAGTCTTCCTTGTGGATCAAACTTCCCACAAAGTGATTCTACCTTTTATTGTTATTTACACATACCCCATATGACTCTCACTGTGCAATAAAGTCCAGACGGAACCATTTTTATTTATCTTTGTACCTCTTGAAGAACCTGCACAGTTTCCTGATGTTACACAGTGCCTCAGCTCAGACTGATGAAAGAATGGATTTGGGATCAGGCATTATTGAGTCTTCTTGGAATCTGCTAGTTGGAAGGGTCCTCAGATGTACCTCCAGTTTTAACTTAGCTATTTCAAGTTCCTACTCAGCAAAGCCTCTCCCTCCAGGTGGGGGACACTGTTGGTAGCCCACTCAGCGTTTCTCCTTCTTCCTCGAACACAGCCCTGACTTTTTTCCAGCCTCCACCCTCCACTAAGTGGCCAAGTGTCAGAGGGAAAGCTTATCCTAGGCTGAAATAATTTCAGGATAATATGTTCCCTTTTGTCAAAAATTGGTTTAGAAATGGAAATGTGACCAAGTTGTGGCTGCAGAGCCTTGAGGAGAGATTTGCTTGTGATTTCCAAGGAAGTCCTTCCTCCCTCCTTAGAGAAAGTGCAGTTATTATTGGCAGCCACTTGACACCTAGGAGGAGAGCCAATTTCCAGATGAAGATGTCAAATATAGATTGTGGGCTGGGATTTGAAAATCTAGGATGTTGCTAACATCGTTGAGGGCAACCTAAAGTCTGCTTTATCTCTGAAATTCTCTTTTTATGAAAAAGTATATTTCCTTTTTGGAAAGACCTTTGAGTTGGGGTTTCTGTTACTCCGTATCTGAAAGGAGGCCCATATACCCTGCCATTGTTTTCCTCTTCAACTCTGCTGATGTAGAAGCCAATATATAATTGAAGAGTTCTATGAATGTTTAGACTAGCTCTGTGCCCAGGAATGTAAGAATGGTTTGTAACAGAGACCCTGTCAAGCCTGAAACATTATATCTCATTTTACTAGCAGCTAGTACTCTGGGGAATGGGAGTTAGTACTGTATTTATTCCAGAGTCTTGTTGATGTGCTGCCTCTTGTCCCTTACACTGGGCCTGAATTTTTTTCTCAGAATAGTGTCTGTAAAATGTGAAAGGTATTTTCTATTCCACACACATGAAAACCCCTTTGCT